AAAAGTTTTCCTTAAGTTCTTTACAGTATAAGCAATAAGTGATGCCTGAGCTACTCAGACCTGCTTTTTGAGAAAAATATTTCTCTTTGAACATATGAACTTGTGAGGCAGAATAGATGCTAAGTAAATTGTGAAAAGAAGTCCTAATATCACATTCACATCTCCCACCCTCCTGAGCACGAACAAAGCAGCAAAGGAGGAGAGGGTGACGGGGGTGAGCAAGTGACGTGCAGAGGTAATTCACAAAAAATATGTAAATGATCAATAATACGAAAAATCCTCAACTGCAAGTTCCATAAGATCCCAGACTTTGTTTTGTGAATAATTCTATCTGTAGAGCCCCCCACAGAGTTTAGAACATAGTAGATGCTCAATATTTACTGACAGGATAAACAAACTTCCCTGGTATTCAATCAAGTGCAAAATAAAACCAAAATCAGATGCCATTACTCATCTAACAGATAACCAGAATTCTGATTTTGTTTTTATGACAAAATCTAATATTGGCAGGGCACAGAGGGAGAGGATTTCAAGTATGATTCTATTTTGAAAATTATTTGGGAGAGAATGAGAGAAAAAGAGAAAAGAAACAGGGAGAGATGGGTAAAAGGAAAAGAGGGGACACGAACCCAGCAGCCCAAGCAGGTTTATTGCTAAAACTGAGAGGGACCCTCTGTTCTGGCCAGCAGAGCAAAGAAGGCCTGTCTTACAGGCTGAGAGGCTTTTTATGGCGGGGTTTTTTGACAGGCTTTTGAGAGGACAGATCGGGGAAAGGGCTTGTGGCTTGTTGATGCATCCGCTGGAAAATGCTTGTGGCCTAAGTAAAATGAACCTAGGTCTCTCTGGGATGGTGGTACTCCTGTCTGGGTTCTATCAATGGGGGATCTTTAAGTTAACCTATTCCAATTCCTTCATTATAAATGACAGTGTTACTCATTCATTCAAGATGAGACCAATCCTTGCCTTCAAAGACCTTAAAGTCAAATGGAGGAGACAGACACTGAACGAGGTCATCACGAGAAGGGCAGTGTGCTAGGGAGACCCAGCCTGAGGTGCAGACTCACAGACAGTTCCCAGAAGACACTTCAGCTAAGACAAGACGGGGCTGAGGTGGAGGAACCCAAAACCTTTGTGCTTCTAAAAAGTCCACGGTGGGAGTGAAGAAGGCACCCCAAAGAACAGTCCTGCGGGGAGCTTCCTGGTCTCCCTTTTGTTTCATATATCCCACACCGAGTGCTGGAGAAACCAGAAACCTGGAAATGCCAATGGGTACAGAAAAAAAATAACAATCAAATCCTGCTCTCTAGGCACCAGGGAAGGGGCAGGCTTGCAAGACAGAAAACATTTGGAAGATCATCTCCGTACTGCAGCCAAATACCATAGAAAAAACTGTGGCTGCTACCTTAACTCATGTCAGCGAAGGCCAAGTGAGCAGCCTAGACCCTCACTCTCGCCGGGCTTGAACAGGGCTTCCCAAGCCCCAGGCAGGACAGGGTCGGAAAGGACCGACACAGAAGCTGGGGCTTTCATCCCCACAAGCGGTGAGGAGTGCCCACTCCCGGCGGAGGCTGTATGAGGAGACTGGGTTTCCACCCCCACCTGGCAGGAGGGAGGAGCATCTTTCCATCCCGGCTGAGGTGGTGTCCTGGGAGGTGCAGCAGGGAGTTAGAACACTTGCCAACCCTGTGGTATCAGTGGAGGACAGGTGGGGAGCGGTACTGAGGACTCTCAACCATCCCAGCCAGGAAGATGTTAGGAAGGCCTAGCAAGAAGCCAGAATCCTCACTTCCCCCGGAGCCGTAACAAGGGTCTCTGCTCCCCTCAGTGGAGGCCGGGTGGCAGTAATGAGGCAGTGCCCACCCTTCCCCTTTGGTGTCACAATAAACTGGTTAAAACAGACTGTCTAAATAAGATCCAGAGTCTCATAACATAATGCCCAAAATGCCCAGGTTTCAATCAAAAATTCATTCATCATATCAAGAACAAGAAAGATCTCAAACTGAAAGCAAAAGACCATTGATAGATGCCAACACTGACATGAAAGGGACATGAGAATTATCTGGCAAATTTACTTCTAAGCAGTCATCACCAAAGTGCTTCACTGAGCAACCACAAACACATTTGAAACAAATGACAAAATAGGGAGTCTGAGAAAAGAAGTAGAAACAGAAAAAAGAACCAAATGGAAAATTTATAACTATAAAAAATAAAGTAAAAAACCTCAAGGGATGAGCTCAAAAGGAGAATGGAGGAGACAGAGAAAGAATTGGTGAACTGAGAGAGAAAGTAACAGAGATTACTCAATCTACACAACAGAGACTGAAGAAAAAACATGAACAGAGCTTCAGGGACTTAGGCAACTATAACAAAAGGTCTAACAGTCATGTCATCAAAGTTCTGGGAAAGAAGAAAGAGGCTGGGGCTAAAAGGCTGCTTGAAGAAATGACTGAAAACTTCCCAAATTTAGCAAAAGACATGAATCTATAGATTAATGTAAACCTCAAACACATTAGAAAAACTCACAACAAAGAACTCCACAACAAAATACATCACAGCCAAACTTTAAGAAACTAAAGACAAAAAAAAGAATCCTGTAAGTGCTAAGAGGAAAAGGACGCCTTTCCTAGAGACCCACAGTGGATTTCTCATCAGAAGCCAGGGAGGCCACACGAGGTGGCACGTTTTTCGGTGCTAGAGGAACTGTTAGTCTGGAATCCTATACCTCCTGTGAAAATATCCATAAGGAATTAAGGGGAAATCAAGACATTTTAAGATAATGAAAAACTAAGATAATTGGTTTCCCACAATTCTGTCCTAAAAGAATAGTTAAAGTAGGTTCTCTAAACAGAAAAGCAATGACAAAAAAAGAAATCTCAGAACATCAGGAAGGAAAAAAAACATGTTAAATAAAAAATATGGGCAATACAGTAAACTTTCCTTCTCCTATTGAGTCTTTTAAATTACATTTGATGGTCAAGCAAAAACTATAATACTGATATTATTCTAACTACATATTGAAGAAATATTTAAGGTAATTAGTTATAAACACAAAAAGGTAGGACCATAGAGGGTAAGGTTTCTACACTTCACTCAAACTGGTAAAATTTTTATAACACCAGAAGACTGCTTGCTGTAAGCATGCATACAAGTAGCGTTATAATTTATATATGTGTGTGTGTGTGTATATATATATGTATTCTAAAATGTATTTGAATAACCCAAAGGAAGAAAAAAAACAGAAAAGCAGAAATAAAAAATAAAATGGAAGGTTTACACCCTAATATGTCAATAATTACATCAAATGTAAGTGACCTAAATCAACAAGTCAGCAACTGGCAGAATGGATTAAAAATATGACCCAACTCTATGCTATTTACAAGAAACTCACTTCAAACAAAACAATACAGGCACATTAAAAGTAAAAGGATTGAAAGATAAATATCATACAAATATTAACAATAAGAAATAGAGGCACTCCAGCTAAAGGAGACTTCAGGGCAAATAGAATTACCAGGGACAGAGAAGGACATTATATAATGATAAAAGGATTGACCCAAAAGGAAGACATAGCAATCTTAAATATATATGCCCCAAACAACAGAGCTGTAAATACTTGAAGCAGGAAATCAACCTAAATAAAAAGAGAACTAGACAAATCCACAATTGTAGTTGAAGATCTCAATACTCTTCTCTCAATGATTGATAGCACAACCAGAGAGAACATCAGATGTAACAGAAAAGAATTCTACACTATCAACAAACAGGATCTATCCACATTTGAAAAACATGCCGTCAAACAACAGAATAATACTCATTCTTTTCAAGTTCCCACGAAACGTAAACCAAAATAGATTATACATCCTGGGACAGAAAACAAACCTCAGTGGATTTAAAGGATTGAAAATGCACAGGGTGTGTTCTCCAGCCACACTGAAATCAAACTAAAGTCAGTGACAGAAAGTCAGCAGAAAAATCTCCAAACAGTTGGAAACTAAACAACACACTACATAATCCATGGGCCAAAGAGAAGTCTCAAGGGGATATTTTAAAAAATACATTGAACTGAGTGAAAATGAAAATACACCATATTAAAATTTGTGGGACCCAAAGTGGTGCTAGGAGGGAAATTTATAGCACTAAATGTATACATTAGAAAAATGGAAAATTCTTAAAACAATAATCTAAGCTCCCACCTCAAGACCTAAAAAGAGAAGAAAAAAATAAACACAAAGCAAGCAGAGAAAGAAATAATAAAGAGCAGAAATCCATAAAATACACTTGAAAAGCAATAGAGAAAATCAAAGAAACAAAGAGCTGGTTCTTTGAAAAGATCAATAAAATTGACAAACATCTAGCAGACTGACAAAGGAAAAAGAGAAGACATAAATAACCAGTATCAGGAATAAAATAGAGCATGTCATTAAAGACTAGGTAGACATCAAAAGGATAATACAAAAATACTATGAACAACTCTACACATTAACATTTGACAAAAGAAAACAGACCAGTTCCTCAAAAAACACAAACTACCACAACTCACCCAAAATAGAATATTTGGACATCCTTACAGCTACTAAAGAATTCACATTTGTAATTAATAATCTTCCCAGTCAGAAGTCTTCAGGCCTAAGGTGGTTTCACTGGAGAATTCTACCAAATGTTTAAGGAAATTAACACTAACTCCACACAATCTCTTCCAGAGATTGCTGAGTGTTAACTGTGCGCCACGCACTGTTCCAACTGTTTTTACATGTCTTGAACTGATCTGATCCTTTCAACAACCCTGTAAAATAGACCCTCTCATATGAGTGCCTGTTTTATACACTCCATCTCATATGAGGAAAACAAAGCCCTGAGAGCTTCTATACACAGCTAGGACACAGCATAGCCAGGTTCCTGTTGAGGCTTCTGGGCTGCATTTGAATCAGATCAGATGCTCAGATTTCTTGTATTTCAATCTTAATCTATTACCAAATTCACTGTTAAATTTTACTTTTGTGACAGGAAATTCCGATCTGGCCAAGACATGCTACTTCAACGAAGTAGTTGGGGTGCTATTATAGTTGGCACTCTTGATAGAAATATATGTGTTTTGTGAATAAAAATAAAGGTTATTCCTGCTGGCAACTGTCATACAATTTCCCTCTAGATGACAGTGAAAACGTATCCAAGAGAATACAGCCGGAAAAGGGGTTTGTTATCGGAAATGGTAAGAGCTTCACCATAGCGCCATTATAATTACAAGGACCAGGAATCAAAACACTGCTTCATCGATTTTTTCCTCACATTTGTTCTTTTTCCCATCAAGACTGATTATACCCTTCCCATTGATTTTAACAAGCACCCTGCATTAAACTCTGCAGACAGACTGGCCAGAGAAAGCTGCAGTGTGTAGGTGGATCTGAACTGCCTCCATTTAGGCAAAAACAGTACATCGCGAACATTATATTGACAAATACAATTTTCCTGACTAGTGTTTTCTCTGAACAAAAAACGCGACTGCCCCCCGGAAAAAAATCTTACAAGAAAAATAATTTAATATTAGTATTCATTCAATGCTGTTCATACTTAGGCTCTGCTTCTCAGCAACTAAGAGCTCTGCCCTGAGTCGGCCTGTGATGCCCCCGATGGCTTGCTCAAGTTGACTGGGTATCTGCCGTTGGGTATTACAAGATATTGGCAGGCAAGGGCCATGCTCTGGGATGTGAGGCCAACTCTGAGGAACACGTGACTTTTGAGAGTCCCAGAGATTGGAGGTGACCTACACCAGGGTTTCTCCAGCTTTTCCAGAGAAAGAACTGACTCCCTCCAAAAGAACCACACCCTGGAGCGCTTCGGATGCAGTCACTGCAAGTGCCTGTATCAGGTTGAAGCGTATGTAATCGCCAGTCTTTGGTATTTCCGTTAGACTCAACCTAATAAACACCTGCTATGTCCCAAGCAGCATGCTAAGCAGGGCTCCAAGCAACGTGCCTTTTAAGCCTCATTTTTTTAAGCAATTAAGGGTCCATTCCAGTTTTATATTCCAACAAGTTATATGTGATATAAAAATACTGTTTTCCCCACAAATCTTTGAGAAAAATGAATGCCTGTCTCTCTAGTGGCTTCACACCCCCCTCACAGAGGGTCTAATACCCTGTTCTGAGCTGCAGGTGACACTCCCCAGGAAGCGGCTTCAGAAGCAGATTGGGGTAAAATGAAGGCCTGGCTGACACCTTGCCCTTTCCCCATTCTTCTCTGCACATTCCTTGCCTTTAATCAAGCCCCAAAAACATTGTCACCACTTATTTTGTCCAGGAAGAAATGGTTCTCCTCGTATCTGACAGAACAATTAACACCTAAGGAAACAAGTTATAATGCTAGCTTCTGACTTCACACATACAAAAAGACGACTTTCCATGCCGGAACAGTTCCAACTGTAATTAAAACTGTAATTAAAACTGTAGCCATCTAGTTCCTCAGATATGACTCCAAGTTTTCCAAAGGCTTTAGATCTCATCACCGGGACATGAGCAGAGCAGCTGCACTGGACTTTTTCCTGCTGTATAGATGGATATGTTCAGGGAAAAAAAGAAGAAGAAGGAAGACATGAATGGAGCCTCTTGACTGCTAGGCTGCATCCTCCGGTTCTCTGGAATGTCATTTATGAAAAGAAAAATCAGACAATACTGCTCACAGCCATGGTGGCCTCATCAGCGACAGGCGCCCCCGTGGTGGGTTCCCCCTTCCTTTCTCCTCCCCTCGCCCACGCCGTTTCCATTTACAGTAGCTATATTCTGGGGGTAATTCACCCATCAAATTCTTTCTGGCTGCTTTTTGCAAGCCTCCTGATATAGGGGGCCAGAGGAATTTTTTTTTTTTTTTGGCTGATTGACAACGATGATTTTGGTTTTGTCCAGACTGATGACTAACTACATCCTTAAATAAACACAGATCACAAAGGAACTCGAGTCCAGAAAATAATTTCCTCTAAACCTCCAAAGAAACTGGCATGCAGTAATTTCAAAGTCCAAACAACGGATGGACTTAGGAGACACCTAAACTCGCAATGGATAAACAAAAGCACAGAACTGAACAGTTAGCATTTTCTCCTTTGTCGTCGGATCTAAAAGTTCATCCTGGCACCGACACAAAGAAGTAATGATTCCATCAGCAGCCTAACAGATGGCAGGCACAAAATGGCTCTAACCTTCTCTGAGAATGCAGGAGAATAGCTCCGTGGAGTTTAATTTAACAGGATGGTGGCTGCTGTTTTCTCTCGGCCGCCTCCTGCACAGCATGCCCGTCCATACCTCGGATGGCTACATCTTAAGGTCCCGCAGTGCAGTTACTCCAGTTAACCCTTAAGACAAGTAAAGGTCTGGAGTTACTATGAGATTCTTTTTTCAGATGGGATTTTGTTCCCACAAAACTCAAACTTTTGATCATAAATAAGACTATTTTTAGGGTCTCTCTTCTTCTGTTAGCATTTAAGAGACACTGGTGCACTTTTTTCCTAGACAGTGAATTATATTTTCCCAAAGGACTTGAGGCAAGACACTAGAGAGGTCTCATCTTGCGGCCCCCACCTCCAGCCAGCTTCTGAAGGGTCACCACTCACGTGAGAATGGTCATTACTTCTGAAGTGGGTAGGAACTGTCGCCCACGGCTTCGGGATCACCTGGGAAGCTTGATGCAATAGCAATGCCAGGGCTGCAACCTCGAATCCCTGGGGGTGGGACCAGACATCAGTATTTTTCAAAGTTCCCAAGCGGGTTTCAACTGGCAGTCAAGATATGCAAGAAATACTGCATTTTAACATTTATATACTGACTTTTAAAGTCCTATAAATTCTTCCTATTGGTTAACTTGATTCCTATTCTGTCTCCATCACACTGGGTTTGTCATTCTTCTGGGGGCTGTACCTCTCTACCTGCCTCCATCTCTCTAAGGCTTGTGTTAGGTCCTGAGGTTTGCAGGATGAGCCCGTACTAGTTAGCATGGCCACATAGGCATCCAGGAAACACCACGCTGATTCTGCAGCCCTAAATTCAGGAATGTACACAGACCAGGCTGTAATAGAACAATCTGAAAGTGAAAGACAAAAATGCTTTAATGTCCTATATTCTGTGATCACTGCGCTCTACCAAGTTCCCATGCTGCTCAGATGGGGAGGCAGTCTCATGCAGAGCATCTCCACCCTTCTGTATGCAGGTGGCCTAAGGAGAACCAGCTGTCTTCCAAAAGGCATGATGGGCCCCGCGCTCACTCACACATGATCGTCCGCAACTGCACAATCTGCTGGCGAGGCTTCAGGGCCTCGGAGCTGCACATTTCTGTGCTGATGTCTCCACGGTGCATCCTGTACTTTCTCTGCCTCCTTCAAATAAGCAATCACCATTTGACTTACCCAAGAGGTGCTCTGTCCGGTCTTACCATCAGTTGGTGTCTACTCTTGTCATCTGTCAGCATAACCATGGTACAAGCCTTCTGGAAACACAAGGGACCAAGTCAAAAGAGAAGACAATTCCTGCTGTTGTCCTGCACATAGAAGGTGCTCAGTAAATGGAGGTTGATCAAAGGACTCTACCCCGAAAGGCACCCAGGCTCTAGCAAAAGAAAAGTCATCAATAGGCTTGGACAAGGCACTTTGGAAACAAGGCACCCATTCAAATACATTCAAGTGAAAAAGGGGGCAAATGAAAGAATAAAGGCAAAGCTCATGGCACCAAAGTAGTGGCTACAACGAAGTAGCCTCACAGGTCAACAGGCAGCTGCTCGGTCTCTCCCTCCCCCTCGGGACCCCCTGATTTCATGCTATTTTTGTGCTGAGCTTCATTTCTTCTCCTTCTGCAGACCCCAGTCCTTTGTTCTAGTAGCACATGGCCCACTCAGGTCACCCAGTAAGAGTGACCGCTGTTTATTTCTGGGATAAACTTTAAGGGCCCACTTTGGGAAGGTGGGGAGCTAACATCACAGGTTGGGGCTCATCTGGGGCTACTGGAAAGAGTGAGGATCTTTACTACAATGATAAACACAAGCCCTGCTCAGTGAGCTCATACCCCCAAGAAATTAAAATTCATGCATAAATATTGTTGTAACACCTTTATTTCAGAATGACTGCAGGATTGAATTTCATCAGTATACAACTAAGTTATGACTCTAAATCACAGGAACACTGAATCAAAACACTTCATCCTGCACACTTGGCCTGAAAAATGTCCACTTGAATTTTAATCTATTTATGTTTCACATTTTAGGACAGTAAAAACACCAACACGACTGGGGAGGACAATGGCTCATAGTTGAAAAGAAATCATTTGTAGCAACATCTCATTTATCCTGAAGTCACAGACCTAGTAACAATTGCGGCTGAGGATCAGGAAGTAAAATTAGAGGAAGTGGCAGAACCACAAAAAGAAAGTCACCAAGTTAACAGAGCAACATTCATTCATTTTAGAGCTAAAAGAGCCTCGGATCCTGTTCACTGTGATTTGACATAGAGTATGCAATTACATGTAAGTTTATCCCAACGTCAACATTCAAAATTTCCCACCCCTTACAGCACGTGAGAGGGAAATTCCTAGAGGCAGGCAGAGTAATATCAGAGAGAAACGACAGACAACAGTGAGGAGAAAAGAAAAACTATCAAAACTGCTAGGAACTCAATGAATGGAGCCATTCAGTATAGGGCTTTAACAAACCTAGTAAGCTAAGACCTGAAAGAATTAAAAACATACATGACAACCCTGAAAAGATTTCATTATCTTCAGTAGATTCTGCTTGCAAAAGCAGGGAAAGGTATACTGAATTAAGAGTTGCGTGCAAATGGTTGAAATAAAGCAAACAAGAGTAACCTTGAGTTTATCTATACTATGCACCTCACAGTGTCTGGTTAATGGGATATTATTACACATATACTGCTTATAAAATACACAAAGCAATTTATATGAAAAGAATATAGCACCTTTTTTATCCACCTGTGATTGAAAACACAAAAACCCCTCGCAGTAATAAAAGCACCACAACCGAGCAGGGATAGCTTAAGTCAGCTTCTCTCTGCATAAGAACTTTATTTTGTGTCCTGAGTGATTAACTGTATTGATTTTGCAAAAACACAAAAAATCTTATATGGTAGGAGACTCAGAGGCCTAAAGCAGTGTTTCTCAAAATACAGTCTGCGGAACAGCACACCCAAATCTCCTGGTGGACTTGTTTTTTAAAGTTCTATTCCCTGAGTCCCAACTAAAATTTCACAAACCAGAATCTCTGGGGGCAGCTCCAGGAACCTGCCAGTGAGCACACCCACCCAAGGATTTCTGGCACAAGCTGGGTCCGGGAATCACTCCAGTCAATCATCACCTTGAAGTACAGGCTGAGCAGATGAGTCGGAGAGAGACTGGCCAGGTCTGGGGGTCAACCCTGTCCCCCACTTGTTCCTAATAGACCTGGTTAAGAATATGCTCACTGGAATCTAAATAGAGAAGCTAAATGTGGGCCTCTAAATGTCTTAATCACAGAAAAGGGATTCTGGCACATCATAAAAATAAACCCTAACAAGCCTTAGTTAATCTTAAAAAGAATGTAAGATTTCTAAACCACATATGTGAAGCTTGAAGTCCTGGAATCCTGATAGGGGGGAAAATGAGGAGGGAACACAGCATCTGACCCAAGTCCAGAGGGGTGGGGGGTGCCTGGGGGTGGGGGGAACATCTAAAAGCAGCCCTGGAGGAGGCAGAATGCAGCTCGCGTCCAGAAGAGGAAAACGCAAATCTGTTCCACGTGGGCTGGGATGTGCAGGCCGGCCCTTCCCATTCCTGAAGCGGAGGCTGCGAGCTACTGGCAACATTTCTGTTGTGGCTGCACAGTGTTTGAACTGTGTGTTGTGAATTCACTGCCAACATGTAAGAACTGGGAGATTTTTTTTTTTTTAAGAATTCTCTCTGTTGTAGATTAATGATACCAAAATTTTAAAAATTTAAAAATAAAAAAGAATTCTCTCTGTATCTGGAAAATTGGAAATTGGAAGNTTTTTTTTTTTTTAAGAATTCTCTCTGTTGTAGATTAATGATACCAAAATTTTAAAAATTTAAAAATAAAAAAGAATTCTCTCTGTATCTGGAAAATTGGAAATTGGAAGAACTAGAAAAACCAGCCACACGGCAGCACCGTGCAGAAGCCGGAGAGCACCTGCCCACCTCCAGCCGGGCGTGTGCTCCCGGGGTGTCCCTGGGGCCACCAGCCCGCTTCGCTCATCAGATCGCCTGCCGGACCCATGAAAGCGCTTGCCTTGAACATCCCCGCGTCAAGGAATTGTGGCAAAAATTCAGCCTCTCTGTGCTTCACTCTTTCTAAGGAAAACTTTCTTACAAAGTTCTTTCCACCTGAGGCATTTTGAAAAAAAATCAGATGTGAGAATACTATAATTCACTGTAGTATTCTCATCCCTAGCTGCCCAAAGGAATCACCCAGAAAGACTTTAAAAATACAGATGCCTGCGTTCTGTCTCCAGAGATTCTGATTCACTGGCCTGGGGTTCAATCTGGGCACCAGGAGTATGTGAAATTCCTCAGGCGGTTCCGCTGACAGCCAAGGCTGAGAACTCCTGCCTTTGGGGGGTGCAGGTTGTTGGGTAGGAAGGGTTAAGTCTCTCCATGTCAACATTCAAACAAATTTCCTATCTCTCCCCTCCATGCTCATTTGTGTCACCTCTTATTTTTGGAAATGGGCTATTATTCCACAAGACTACAGAATGCCATTTACAAACTGGAAAGGGGGGTCGATATGTGTCCTGGTTTCTACCGTTCATTTTCCGCCCATCACAACTGAAGAATGAAACACTAAGAAAATGAGGAAAAATTATCCTAAGAGACAAAACTCAGGCAGCACAAATTGCTCAAATACAATAAGAAGAGGTTCACAGTGGCAGGCTTGTATGAAAAAAGTACAATTGTTTTGAAATTCATCAATGCACTAAAAGGAAAACTTTTCAAATATAAAAAAAAGAACAATTTCCTCAAGACTTTCCAATAATGGCCCAAGTTCTATCTTAAGAAGATGAATTCCAAATCATTGCCTCTCTTTGAGCTTCCTGCTAGGTAGTATGCATTTATATTTTGACTCCCAATCATGAGAAATGAAAACTACTGTCATCTCATTTTCAAACAGTAACATACCTTGCATTACATTTGGAAAGTACATTTTCAAAATGATTTCACATAATAAAAACAGCCTCTGTTTGCTGGACTTCTACTATGCAACAGGTAAGATGCTAGGCACTGGATAGACATGGTCTCAAATCGGTCCAACAACCTCACAAAGTGAATCCATAACCCCACTTATAAATTTTTTTAAATGAGCTTCAGCAAGATTTAAAATTATGTACATGATCACTGAGCTAGTGAGTGTCAGTGTGTGGATTCAAACAGGGTCTGTGTCTTGGACTCCCCAATCTGTCTCCTCACACAAAACTATCTTATTTAATCATCACGATCCACAGATAGAAATATCCGTGCACATGATTCCCATTTGCCCAGGGAACAGAGCGGTGAAGAAGGACTTGCTCCCCACGACAGAACAGGTTAGTAGGAGCCCAGGTGATCACCCACCTTTCCACTCTCCATCTCACGTTCTCAGAGGACCAAATCACACGGCTCACATGTTACATTATAAAAGCGATAATGGCAGGTACGTAGTACTTATGGGTAGAAATCAGATGCTCCT